ATAACTCCAAGCTGTAGCTCACAGAAATATGCACATTCTCCCTGAAGGCAAAGCTGAAGAACCTGGACTCCATGGCCAAATTGGTGAGAGTATCCTCCACTAAAAGGCACCTGGAGTCTGGGGCACTGATAAGCCCCAACCCCATCAGGCAGCCAGTCCAAATGGAGACTGAACTGACTCTTGATACTCTAAAGTAGCCACCTCAGAAAGATGGTTGGGGTGGGCTCCCTTCACACTGGAGGCAATATGGGTGGTGGTTGGGGACCAGTGTTCCACAGGCCTGGAGGCCCTCAGATGCCTCTGGCTGACTGAAGGATGCAAATTGCACAAGCATGAGCCACATAGGTCAGGATAACCAGGGAAATGGAACAGGGAGACGATGGCAGGAACTGGACTGCCTTGCAGTGGAGAATGTTCTGGAAGAAATCCTGGGTCCCCATCAGACAGCAAGTCCAAGTGGGGATTCACTGTCAGCTTTGCAGCTGCTGTCTCAGAAAATTTGCAAGGGGTGGGCTCTCTCCATCTGAAGGGTATGGATGTGGTTTCAGGTGATTTCAAATTCAGTAAGGCAATGAAAAACACATGCAAAAAAATTGTGAGGAAAGAGTAAAACATAATTATGTAATTCTAAAAAATTTTTACATATGCCACAAAAAAAGAGATATTAGAACCAAAACAGCAAATAATGTGTTTATATTAGGAGCACAAAACTGGAAAATGAAATATTAAAAAAATCCTTTATTAATATTGAAAAACAAAATATTGAAGCATAAATCTTACAAAATATTTTTAAGATCACTACACTAAGATTTGCAAAATATTACTGAGAAAAAAATTAAAAAGACATGTAAAGGAAGAACTCTATGATGTTCATTGATGGAAGACAATACAAGTAAGATGTCAATTCTCCCAAGTTAATTTATTCTTTGAACATGACCCACATAAAAGTCTCTTTTTTTGACCAAAAATAATTGACAACATGATTCAAATGCATTTGGAAATGGCCAAGGCTGTCCTGAAAAAGAACAAATTGGAAGATTTGTAATACCAGATTTCCAGATCTATATTAAGGATACTCTATTTATCATGTGGTAGTATAATGGTAGAAAAATTGATCAATGGAAGAAAAGGAGTCCAGAAATACACACCAACACCCAGATAACTTGTTTTATGCACTAATGTAATTCAATGAGGAGAGAAAATTTTTTCTTAAATATGGTGAAATAACTATTGGATTTTGGTATGACCAACAAAATGGAAACCCAGCCTCTTTCTCATACCAAGTAGATTAACTCAAACTCGATTGTGGGCCTAAATATAAATCATCTAAGAGAAAAGATAGTGTTATACCTTCAGTCATTCATGATAAAGCCAATATTTACTTAACAGATTTCAAATTATATTTCAGTAAAAAATTTCGAATCCATCAAAAAATATCACACACACATACACACACATACACAAGCCATAGACTGAGAGAAGACATTTGCACTACATATAGATAAAAGACTAATATGTATTCCACATAAAGCAGTTTCATAAACCAAGAGAAAAAAATAACCCAACTTAAAAATTGCAAAAAATCACCTAACAAACCTATGCACAAAGTGTTCAGTTCACCATTCATCAGTGAAACTCAGAAGAGAAATACATTAAATATCACTATACATTCAGAGAATGGCTAATGTCTGAAAGCCTGGGTGCATTTGCTAAGAATAGAATATTAAAAGGATTCAGAATTTGAATAAATAAAAAATGATTGATAATTATATGTGCATAAAATTCAAAAACTTCTGCCTCAAAAAATTAACGTGGACTCAAATGTCTAATAATAACATGGAAATATGTCTAATTTATATCACAGAAATGTAAAATGAAAAGTGATAATCTCATTATTTCTAAACAAAGGAAAAATAATAGCAAAAGGGACTAGTCTCTTAATCAGAAAATTGAGAAAAAAACCCAAAACAAATGTCCCTTAAATATCTAAATGCAAATAAACACATTCAAAATAATAAAATGCACATTAAAGTTATACAGAGGTCCATTTATTATCTACTAAACAGAAAAGATAGTCAAAAGGTTGACAATATTCTCAGTTGACAAGGCCAAGAAAAAGTAGGCTCTCTAGAACATTACAGGATACCATACAACATCCCTGTGAAAAATAATATGAAATACCTAAGAAATTATCTCATGATCCATTAATTGCACTTTGAGCAGCATATCCTGACAATATGTCCACAAAGTGTATTCATCATATTATTTGTTATCTGTAATAGTAAAAATATCAGAATGGTCTGAGTGAGATACATTCTAAAATGAAAATAACAAGGGACAGATAAATGTGTAAAATAATCTCTATAAAAAAGAGATTAATAGGGCACCTAGGTGGCTTAGTCAGTTAAGTGACCAATTCTTGAGTTCAGCTCAGGTCATGATCTAAGTGTTGTGAGATGGAGCCCCGCGTTGGGCCCCACGATGAGCATGGAGCCTGCTTAAGATTTTCTCTCTCTCTCTCTCTCTGCCCTTTGACATCTATTTGTGTGCTCTCTCTCCTTCTCCAAAGAACAAAGAAAGAAGAAAGGAAGAAAGGAAGAAAGGAAGGAAGAAAGGAAGGAAGGAAGGAAGGAAGAAAAAGAAAAAGAAAGAAGAAAGAAAGAAGGAAAGAAAGAAGAAAGAAAGAAAGAAAGAAAGAAAGAAAGAAAGAAAGAAAGAAAGAAAGAAAGAAAGAAAGAAGAAAAGAAAGAAAGAAAGAAAGAAAGAAAGAAAGAAAGAAAGAAAGAAAGAAGAAAGAAAGAAAGAAAGAAAGAAAGAAAGAAAGAAAAAGAAGAAAGAAAAAGAAAGAAAGGAAAGAAAAAGAAAGAAAGGAAAGAAAAAAAAGAAAAGAAAGATTAGTCTTTCTTTTCTGACGGTGGGTAGGATGTCAGAAACTAATAAAATTATAACCTTATTCAATGAGGGAACAGATATGAGAGAAGGAAGACTACTCTGCATAAAGACCCTCCTCATATCACTCTGCCTTATAAAACACGTAGATGTTTTCCATTGTTTAAAGTTAGATTAGAGAGGCACCTGGGTGGCTCAGTCGTTAAGTGTCTGCCTTCGGCTCAGGTCATGATCCCAAGGTCCTGGAATCCAGCCCCGCATCGGGCTCCCTGTTCGGCGGGAAGCCTGCTTCTCCCTCTCCCACTCCCCTTGCTCATGTTCCCTCTCTCGCTGTGTCTCTCTCTGTCAAATAAATAAATAAAATCTTTAAAAAAATAAAGTTAGATTAGAAAAGTAAGAAGGAGCAAAATCTAAAATTGAAAAAATTGAAAAAAAAAACTGATGCAAATAATTGTAAAACTCTTAATTTGGTAAGAGAGCCAATCAGAGATAAGAATCATTTCAAGTTGCTTTTTAAGAAAGTACTTATACTCAGAGTCAAGCATCCTGGGACAAAATAAACACAAGACATTTTAACCTTCATCTGATAGTTTAACTGGTGATAGTAATGTTTGCATGACACTTTTGATATTGTTTTCATGGATATTGAAATATAAGAATATATAAGTAAAGAGAAAAGGGGAAAATGTGTTAAAAAGGTTTTTTTTAACCCTATATTATTAAACTTGAATTGGAAAATCCAATAGGAACTAATGAATTTGAAATTTCATTTCTATTTCAAATTTCTGACAACTGAAAGACCCTGGAAATAAAGACACGTCAACAGTATTGAACACTCCCAACTACCATGAATAGTACAACTTGGATTCTAAGCCCTGTTCTCCAATAAAAAGAATCAGAACTTCTTGGAAAGATATGTGATTATGGGTGTTGCACCGTGGAAATAGACAGTGAGCCTGGAATGTCATGTTGTGCTAAAAAGAAGAGAAATACTCAAAGACTAATGGGGATATAACAAAGCAATCAAGAGCCAGTTGCAAGGCACTCACTAGCCAAATGTGGATCATTTGTGCTTCAAAGAATAATGATTATAATTGATTGTGAAAAACTGAGCAAATAAAAATTCATGAATCCAGGATGATACCATGTTTAAAAAGTCTTTAAAGCGATCGCAGAAGGTCACTGATACATCAAGTCCTTACTCCAAAAATTGGAAATAAAGGGCAAAAATAAAGATTTATCAAATCTTTTTAGGTGAAGGTTTAATTTAAACAGAGTTGATAAATTAACACTCATCCTTACACAAGAATGACAGTAAGTGCAAAAAAACGATACAATTGATTTTAAAAATCACTATTTTGAAATAATTGATTATATACAAGTATCATAAATACATTCCACAAACATTAGGTGAAAGGTTTTGGAGAATAGTATATACACAAGCATTAACATTAACAGCAAAGATAACTTGCCAATTCTAACAGTGTTCCTTTATATGTGAGAAAACTGGCTGTCACCAATGATTCACATTTAGATAAATTGACTCCATTGGTGACAGCCAGGTTTCTCATTCTAAGCAAGAATGCCACTTGATTTGATGCAATGCAAAGTTACAAGATATCACCTTAAAATATTTTTATCTTAATTATGTATATCTTGATTTTCATCTTAAAGTTGTTTTTGTAGAAATTTAAAATGTTTATAGTCAACTGATTTTAATTATGCTGTTTGAAATGTATGAACATAAAAATCATATTTCAGACTCTTGTCATTGAATGTTTCCAAAGCCCTCCATACCAGCAAAATCATGAAAATGTTTTTAGATCTGGAGATAATCACCAGAGGTCTTTATAGTTCTTGATATGTTTTGTCTTACTTTTTACATATCTTTATTTTAAAATAACGTATCCTATGGTTCAAAGGCGATATATATTAAAGATAGAAAAATTGGAGAATACAGGTAAGTATAAAGGAGCTAAACAGCCACTCTTCCCTCTATTATCTCTAAATTCAATTATAGTTATTATAAATTTTTGTGCTTTCTGCCAGCTTTTATTCTATAAACATTTATTCAGTGTTCAAAGCATAGTGTGTGTGTGTGTGTGTCTATACTTGATATTGGACTTTTGAAATCACTTTTAATGTAATAATAGTTATGCACCTAATTAGATTTGAATTCCTCTTTATGATTTGTTTGAATTATTATGTTTGCTAGATAGACATCTTATAGGAGATCATGCATTTCATCATTTTTTGGCATATGTATCTATTGAGAGATAAATAAAAGTAAATGATAATTTCATATATCTTATTAATAACATAGGTATGACACAATTAGGTTTCTATGTGTTTGTGAAGTGATATGATTTTGAAGATGGATGCAAGCATTTTTTTTCCATTTCCTCTGAAATGGAGGGCCTCAGGAAGCCTCAGGAGTTATGAAGAAACCTTTGAGAAAGTTAGGAGGATGGAAAGAAGCAGGCATGGAAGTGATTGCAACTAATTTCTTGACACAGATATTTTATGAATAGGACACATAGCATTTTGGTTCACCAAGTTTTAATATGGTGCTTTTTAAGAAGTGATTCATTTGTCTCTCAGGTTATATCATCCACATTCTATTTAACACAAATTCTGATTTATGAATAAAAATGAGTTAAATAATAGTTGAAAAAATAATTGAGAAGAATTGGATTCATAATGAAAACTTGGGATAAACGTACATATTTTAATTTTAGGACTGCATCTTAACCATTGCTTTATACACAAGTGGGATACATCAGTATCCCTTCCCAACAGGTTACTCGAAATGCATGACCTGGTGACTTTCTATGATATCCAGCTTTACATATAAATTCAATATTATCCCCTGTTTTAGAATAAAATTTTTTCACATGTCTCCATCGTAATTGTATGTTATGCTTTTCCATGATTTCTTCTGATACCACACATGCATCTGAAAGTACAAAAATGAACATAAAACATTAAGTAGCATACAAATATTTGCCACAGAATTTCAGACTTTCAAGTAGATTATTCTACATTGGCCTAGCACTTCATTCTCAAACCTTGTTCCAAACCAACTCACTGAAAATCCATCATGTAGATTTAAGTCATTTTAAACAGAGGATGTAAAAATGAGGTACTGAGTTTAATGTATAATAATTAGATATTATAATCAAAATGCAAAATGTCCACTATCACATGAAGAACTTTTATTAAAGAATCTTTTGTTGCTGTTATTGCTTGAATAAGAATTTTTCCAACTTGATTTCCTCATATATTAATATTTGGTAGTCAAGAATTCAACAGAATTGTTGTTTGTTAATCCATGAAAATTCTATAAATAGGAAAACATCATATTCCGTACACAAATTTTCCCAGGATCTATGAGAATATGAAAATATTTACCCAAGCATTTTGGTGGTTTCGACCACTGTCCATTCCTACATATTATAGTCCTGTTTCCCTGAAGTGTGTAGAAGTCCTGGCATTGGTACTCAACTGATGATCCTGGAGCATAAGCTGGTAATGGGAATGAGGTAATGTCTCCATTGTCAATAGGCGGAGGGGGACCACATTTTCCTTTAGGGTCTAAAAAAACATTACTTGATTTATTGAAAGACCAAAGGAAAACACAGGCAAGCAATAAAGATATAGCACAGTCCTTCATATTAAGACATGTGATTTCTGCTAACATAAGTGATTCATTGAAGAAATTTTAATCGCATAAAATGAGAGTTACATTTTTGAGCCTTTCCTTTCACCCCACATGAAAACACATATAAGGCATTAACAAATATGTCTGCTTTGCATTATTTCAGTATTAAAAAATGCTTTGCTTAGAGAATATATGCTGAACAGATGGATAGCTTAGATACAGAAATGTCGTTTTTATATACAACTTATTGTAGTATCTACTGGATCTCTTGTCATTTTTTTTTCATTATGTTCAGTTAGCCAACATAGAGCACATCATTAGTTTTTTGGGGTTTTTTATTCTTATGTTAATCCCCATATATTATACATTACATCATTAGTTTTAGATGAAGTGTTCCATGATTCATTGTTTGTGCATAACACCCAGGGCTCCATGCAGAATGTGCCCTCCTCAATACCCACCACCAGGCTAACCCATCCTCCCACCCCCCTCCCCTCTAGAACCCTGTTTGTTTTTCAGAGTCCATCATCTCTCATGGTTCGTCTACCCCTCCGATTTCCCCCACTTCATTCTTCCCCTCCTGCTACCTTCTTCTTCTTCTTTTTTTTTTTCTTAACATATATTGCATTATTTGTTTCAGAAGTACAGATCTGAGATTCAACAGTCTTGCACAATTCACAGCGCTTACCAGAGCACATACACTCCCCAGTGTCTATCACCCAGTCACCCCATCCCTCCCACCCCACCTCCCACTCCAGCAACCCTCAGTTTGTTTCCTACAATTAAGAATTCCTCATATCAGTGAGATCATATGATACATGTCTTTCTCTGTTTGACTTATTTCACTCAACATAACCTCCAGTTCCATCCACGTCGTTGCAAATGGCAAGATCTCATTCCTTTTGATGGCTGCATAATATTCCATTGTATATATATACCACCTCTTTATCCATTCATCTGTCGATGGACATCTTGGCTCTTTCCACAGTTTGGCTATTGTGGACATTGCTGCTATAAACATCGGGGTGCACGTACCCCTTCAGATCCCTACTTTTGTATCTTTGGGGTAAATACCCAGTAGTGCAATTGCTGGATCATATGGTAGCTCTATTTTCAACTTTTTGAGGAACCTCCATACAGTTTTCCAGAGTGGCTGCACCAGCTTGCATTCCCACCAACAATGTACGAGGGTTCCCCTTTCTCTGCATCCCCGCCAACATCTGTCATTTCCTGACTTGTTAATTTTAGCCATTCTGACTGGTGTGAGGTGGTATCTCATTGAGGTTTTGATTTGGATTACCCTGATGCCGAGCGATATTGAGCACTTCTTCATGTGTCTGTTGGCCATTTGGATGTCTTCTTTGAAAAAATGTCTGTTCATGTCTTCTGCCCATTTCTTGATTGGATTCTTTGTTCTTTGGGTGTTGAGTTTGATGAGTTCTTTATAGATTTTGGATACTAGCCCTTTATCTGATAGGTCATTTGCAAATATCTTCTCCCATTCTGTTGGTTGTCTTTTGGTTTTGTTGACTGTTTCCTTTGCTTTGCAAAAGCTTTTTATCTTGATGAAGTCCCAATAGTTCATTTTTGCCCTTGCTTCCCTTGCTTTTGGTGATGTTTCTAGGAAGAAGTTGCTTTGGCTGAGGTCAAAGAGGTTGCTGCCTGTGTTCTCCTTTAGGATTTTGATGGACTCCTGTCTCACATTGAGGTCTTTCAACCATTTTGAGTCTATTTTTGTGTGTGGTGTAAGGAAATGGTCCAGGTTCATTCTTCTGCATGTGGCTGTCCAATTTTCCCAACACCATTTGTTGAAGAGACTGTCTTTGTTCCATTGGACATTCTTTCCTGCTTTGTCAAAGATGAGTTGACCATAGAGTTGAGGGTCCATTTCTGGGCTCTCTATTCTGTTCCATTGATCTAAGTGTCTGTTTTTGTGCCAGTACCATGCTGTCTTGATGATGACAGCTTTGTAATAGAGCTGGAAGTCCGGAAATGTGATGCCGCCAGCTTTGCTTTTCTTTTTCAACATTCCTCTGGCTATGCGGGGTCTTTTCTGGTTCCATACAAATTTTAGGATGATTTGTTCCATTTCTTTGAAAAAAGTGGATGGTATTTTGATGGCGATTGCATTGAATGTGTAGATTGCTCTAGGTAGCATGGACATCTTCACAATATTTGTTCTTCCAATCCATGAGCATGGAACATTTTTCCATTTTTTTGTGTCTTCCTCAATTTCTTTCATGAGTATTTTATAGTTTTCTGAGTACAGATCCTTTGTCTCTTTGGTTAGATTTATTCCTAGGTATCTTATGGTTTTGAGTGCAATTGTAAATGGGATCAACTCCTTAATTTCTCTTTCTTCTGTCTTGTTGTTGGTATATAGGAATGCCACTGACTTCTGTGCATTGATTTTATATCCTGCCACTTGACTGAATTCCTGTATGAGTTCTAGCAGTTTTGGGGTGGAGTCTTTTGGGTTTTCCACATAAAGTATCATATCATCTGCAAAGAGTGAGAGTTTGACTTCTTCTTTGCCAATTTGGATGCCTTTGATTTCTTTTTGTTGTCTGATTGCTGTGGCTAGGACTTCCAATACTATGTTGAATAGCAGTGGTGATAGTGGACATCCCTGCCGCGTTCCTGACCTTAGGGGGAAAGCTCTCAGTTTTTCCCCATTGAGAATGATATTCGCTGTGGGTTTTTCATAGATGGCTTTTATAATATTGAGGTATGTACCCTCGATCCCTATACTCTGAAGATTTTTGATCCAGAAAGGATGCTGTACTTTGTCAAAAGCTTTTTCTGCATCTATTGAGAGGATCATATGATTCTTGTTCTTTCTTTTGTTAATGTATTGTATCACATTGATTGATTTGCGGATGTTGAACCAACCTTGCAGCCTAGGGATAAATCCCACTTGGTCATGGTGAATAATCCTTTTAATGTACTGTTGGATCCTATTGGCTAGTATTTTGGTGAGAATTTTTGCATCCATGTTCATCAGGGATATTGGTCTGTAATTCTCCTTTTTGATGGGGTCTTTGTCTGGTTTTGGGATCAAGGTAATGCTGGCCTCATAAAATTAGTTTGGAAGTTTTCCTTCCATTTCTATTTTTTGGAACAGTTTCAGAAGAATAAGTATTAATTCTTCTTGAAATGTTTGGTAGAATTCCCCTGGGAAGCCATCTGGCCCTGGGCTTTTGTTTTTTGGGAGATTTTTGATGACTGCTTCAATTTCCTTAGTGGTTATAGGTCTGTTCAGGTTTTCTATTTCATTCTGGTTCAGTTTTGGTAGTTGATACATCTCTAGGAATGCATCCATTTCTTCCAGGTTATCTAATTTGCTGGCATAGAGTTGCTCATAATATGTTCTTATAATTGTTTCTATTTCTTTGGTGTTGGTTGTGATCTCTCCTCTTTCATTCATGATTTTGTTGATTTGGGTCATTTCTCTTCTCTTTTTGATAAGTCTGGCCAGGGGTTTATCACTCTTGTTAATTCTTTCAAAGAACCAGCTCCTAGTTTCATTGATCTGTTCTACTGTTCTTTTAGTTTCTATTTCATTGATTTCTGCTCTGATCTTTATTATTTCTCTTCTCCTGCTGGGTTTAGGCTTTATTTGCTGTTCTTTCTCCAGCTCCTTTAGGTGTAGGGTTAGGTTGTGTACTTGAGACCTTTCTTGTTTCTTGAGAAAGGCTTGTATTGCTATATACTTTCCTCTTAGGACTGCCTTTGCTGCATCCCAAAGATTTTGAATAGTTGTGTTTTCATTTTCATTGGTTTCCATGTATTTTTTTAGTTCTTCTTTAATTTCCTGGTTGACCCATTCATTCTTCAGTACGATGCTCTTTAGCCTCCATGTATTTGAGTTCTTTCCGACTTTCCTCTTGTGATTGAGTTCTAGTTTCAAAGCATTATGGTCTGAAAATAGGCAGGGAATGATCCCAATCTTTTGGTACCGGTTGAGACCTGATTTATGACCTAGGATGTGATCTATTCTGGAGAATGTTCCATGGGCACTAGAGAAGAATGTGTATTCCGTTGCTTTGGGGTGGAATGTTCTGAATATGTCTGTGAAGTCCATTTGGTCTAGTGTGTCATTTAAAGTCTTTATTTCCTTGTTGATCTTTTGCTTAGACGATCTGTCCATTTCAGTGAGGGGGGTGTTAAAGTCCCCCACTATTATTGTATTGTTGTCAATGTGTTTCTTTGCTTTTGTTATTAATTGGCTTATATAATTGGCTGATCCCATGTTAGGGGCACAGATATTTACAATTGTTAGATCTTCTTGTTGGATAGATCCTTTAAGTAGGATATAATGTCCTTCCTCGTCTCTTATTACAGTCTTTGGTTTAAAATCTAATTTGTCTGATACAAGGATTGCCACCCCAGCTTTCTTTTGGTGTCCATTAGCATGGTAAATGGTTTTCCACCCCCTCACTTTCAATCTGGGGGTGTCTTTGGTTCTAAAATGAGTCTCTTGCAGACAGCATATCGATGGGTCTTGTTTTTTAATCAGTCTGATAGCCTGTGTCTTTTGATTGGGGCATTGAGCCCATTTACATTCAGGGTAACTAATGAAAGATAGGAATTTAGTGCCATTGTATTGCCTGTAAGGTGACTGTTACCATATATTGTCTGTGTTCCTTTCTGGTCTATGTTGCTTTTAGGGTCTCTCTTTGCTTAGAAGACCCCTTTCAAGATTTCCTGTAGGGCTGGTTTTGTGTTTGCAAATTCCTTTAGTTTTTGTTTGTCCTGGAAGCTTTTTATCTCTCCTTCAATTTTCAATGACAGCCTAGCTGGATATAGTATTCTTGGCTGCATATTTTTCTCATTTAGTGCTCTGAATATATCCTGCCAGTCCTTTCTGGCCTGCCAGGTCTCTGTGGATAGGTCTGTTGCCAATCTAATGTTTCTACCCTTGTAGGTTACA